GGGGTAAGTGTTTTACGGCACTCGCAACGGCATAATGTCATATGAGGGCGCAGGACACAACATTTTCAGTCGGTAGAAAATTTTGAATTTTCCCCGGGTGTCGGCCCCGACCGAAGCCTTCTCTTGTCTTATCGACTTACTTTACACGACCAAGGAATCTTTAACGTGCATAAATTGCACTCGAGACCTTCGAGATTTTTTCGCCCTTGTCCGAAAGGGCTAGGTGTAGATCTTTCCTACCAGAAGATCAGGGGTGTGGCGGAAAGACTGCAGTAAGAAGGAGCCAAAGAGTAGCAGCAAAAAGGCTGCGGAAAGGGTAAGGAGCCAAGAGGAGGAGGTAAAGGAAGTGAAGGGGTGGAGACAGAAAGTGGAGACGAAAGCGGACGACAGAACATTGCAAGAGAGCAGGAAAGGAGGTGAAAGGAGACAATTTTAGAGAAGAAAATGTTTCCGTCGCTAGTCGGATTCGAACCCGGAACCTTTAAATGAGAGGCGAACAACTTAACCTTTAGGCCCCGAGAGCCCCCCTTAGTGGAGAATGGAGATTTTGGGTTTGGAAAAAAGAAAGGGCGGCGGGGGGCAGTTTTAAAGTTAAAAAATCAGACAAAATATTTCATAACGACTATCAAATACAGTGACATTGCCTCAGCATTTTAAAAAAAACAAGCAAACATTATTTTCTAACTTTTTCACAAACTGCTTTTTCACAGATGAAACGCGTGGTCTGTGCTACAGGATTGAAAAGAAAAGAAAAACACATCTCTGTTATCTTTGGCTTATGTTACACTTTTGTAGACGCCCCGCAGACGTACAGCCGCTTCGCGGTAACTCAATTCCAGGTGGGAAGATCTACACAGATTTGACAAGCTCTGAAAAGAACCGTGCTGCTTCTAATCATTGAATCGGAGCTCGTGGGGGGATGATAAATGGAATAGAAATGAGTGCAGATACGTCCCTTTCTGCCGCGGAACGATCTGGGGACGGGCTGACCTGAAGACGGTGACAGAACTTGGCTTTTGGTGAGGCCGCGCAACATGTGCGTGTTTGTGTGTCTGTGCACATTTGTGCAGCACAACGGCCTGCGGGTGTGTGCATGTGCGTGTG